CGAGCGGCGGCGGGGGCGGCGGCGGCCCCAAGGTGAGCGTCAGCCCGAGCGGCGGCGGGGGCGGCGGGAGAGGCGGCGCTGAGGCGGCCGAAGGAAGCGCCCCCGTCGTCACGCCGGGCCGCAGCGAGCGCAGCGTCCCTCCGACGCCCGGCTGCAGCCGCTGGACGCGGAGCGACTCCATCCCCTCCGTTGCCGACGACCGAGGCGAAGAGACGCGGAGTCGCCTCACGGGCGAGCTGTCAGTCAAGCTCTGGCCAGCGACCAATGGCAGAACGCCTTTTCGGGCAGGAGGCGGGCTTCCCCGCCCTCTTGCCCAATCGCCGTCGTGAGTCTCTCGAAAGCCAAGAGACGGACGAGTTGGGGTTGGGAGGCTCCTTGGCGAAGGCCTTAGCCAATGGAGATCGAGGACAGAAGCAGGCGGACGCTCCTGGCCTTACGTCACATCTTTCATCAGCGGGAGCCAATCGGAAGCCTCAGATAAGTTTGACCCACACGCGCTCCCGTAACGGAGGCGGAACTGGAGGTGTTTACCTGTCCTGCGAGGGCCCGACAGTCGGGCGAGGGTTCAGGCTGAGGCTGCCCGGTTCGGTCCAACCTTTCCCGCCCCTCGGCCTCCGCCATGGATTCCTGGGTCCGCTTCAGCGCCCAAAGCCAAGCCAAGGAGCGGGTGTTCAGGTTTGCACAAGCAAAGGGCGGTGGGTGACAACCCCGGGGAGGAATTTGCAGGGAGTCCTCGACTTACGACCGCCATCGACCCCAACATTTCTATTCAGGGAGACGTTGGAGTGAGCTTTGCCCCGTTTTAAGACCTTCCTTGCCACGGGTGTTAAGTGAATCACTGCAGTCGTTAACTTAGCAACACGTTTATTAAGTGAATTCGGCTTTCCCCATTGACTTTGCTTGCCAGGAGGTCACAAAATGGAAACACGTGATCCTCAGACTGTGACTGCCATAAATGTAAGTCAGTTGTCAAGCGTCTGACATGATCACGTGACCACGGGGATGCTGATATGGTCATAAGTGTGAAACAACAGACGTAAGTCCCTTTTTTCAGTGCTGCTAAACGAATTGTAAGCCGGGACACTGCAACCATCATAAATATGAGTCAGTTTCCAACTGTCTGAATTTTGATGGTGTGAAAAATAGTCATAAGTCCCTTTTTTCAGTGCCGTCATAACTTTCATAATGGTCACTAAACAAACTGTTGTAAGTCAGGTTGCTGCAACCGTCATAAATATGAATTAGCTTCCAACTGTCTGAATTTTGATTACATGACTATGGGAGTGCTAAAGCGGTCGTAAGTGTGAAAAATGGTCATAAGCCATTGTAACTTCAAATGGTCACTAAATGAACTGTTGAATGTCGAGGACTACCTGTAGTTTTAAAATCCATGGAAAGCATTTGGTTTAAGTTGAATTCATCTCAGCAGGTATCAAATAAAAAAGAATATTTGTAGCTCAAGACTGATCTTTGGGGGTGAATTTGGCTGTTTTTCTGCAGAAGTTTCGTTACCAAACTACTTTAAAGCAGTTGCCCCACTTTTCATGGCAAACATGGGCTTGCAGATAACTAGGGCGCGGTCATAATTCGGGCAACACTTGCTTTCTCATTTTTCCTCTTGAAGTTGTTGCTGTCCTCACCCCATGGGTGAAAAAGGCGGTGCCCTCAACTACGTCATCTAAATATTTACCTCTTGCCCCATTCACACTCTGTTGCTTCTTCAAAGAGAGCTTTTGGGTGGCTGCCTTGGAAAAACTTTGGGTGTCTGTGATTAATTGGAAACTGAGGCAATGAAGACAGCATAAGGATCAGTAATGAGGCCGTCAAACCTTATACTCAGAGATGATAGCAAAAATGCTGCATTTCGTTCCTAAAAGTGGGTCCTTAATTTCCTCCTTTCCGCAGAGGTGATATTGTTTACTTATGTGCACAGAGGGCAAGAGAATAAGAGAGAATTTAAAACAGAATGTAAGCAAGCCATATGCTGAATTTTCCTTCCATTATTAGTCATATATTGTGGCAGGTACGTGAAAGGCAAATCTATTATGCCATGTCTTTATTAGGAAAATTGCTTTTTCCAAAATTGCTTTTTCCATACTACACATGACTGATTGTTTAATATCTAGAATCATATTTGTCCAATTTTTCAGAATAATTCTTTTAGCAATTGCACCAGAGATGGGTTTCCAAATTTTTTACTACCAGTTTGCTCGCTCGCGCTGCTTCTGCGCATGTGGAGAAGCGCCCGGCTCGCACAATCTGGGAGCAACCCACCACTGAATTGCACATACTCTATGCAACTTAAGTTCTTGAACAAAACTCAGATTCTGTATTTCTGGGAGGGAAAGAATAAATTTAATTCCTACTTCCAAAGACACATAGTAAAGGATGCCCTATTTAAGGTCTGGGGAAAAAAACCCCCATTACATGAAAATCCCAATCTGGTTATCAACGATGGAGGCAATGACATATCCAAATACTATAGATCTTAGCAAAATGGTAAGTTATAGCAGTTAGCAATAGCAGTTAGACTTATATACCGCTTCATAGGGCTTTCAGCCCTCTCTAAGCGGTTTACAGAGTCAGCATATTGCCCCCAACAACAATCCGGTTCCTCATATATATATATTTCATTCAGAAATTGAGTATAATGTATTGCACACCCACACAAACATGTGTGGGATGATAGAATATTGTGGTGCTGCTATAATTCATATAAATATATACA